TCAAGGATCACCTTGCTTTGCCCCTCTTCTTTGGGCTGCATTCATTTCTTCCTCAGGGCTATAGTTAACTGGTAAAGATGGAGGAGAGCAGAACTGTGGCAGTGCTTAAGTATAGGGCTTAAGGGCCACCTACTTTGCTTCCTTATCAGCCAGGCCAATTTGATGCCCATCAGTGAATTACTGCCACTTTCTTGGGCCACTCTATGACCTCTAGGAGTGGGAGAATTTCTTTTTGATGTATGAGGGGGTCTTTTCCCAGTCAGGAGCCCTCTCTCTTTCCAGGTGTTTGCATGTGCATGAATCATGAGGAAGACATACTTTGAGTCTGTTTAGATATTACGTCTTTTGTCCTTTCCCAAGGTCAAGTCTGAGGACAAAGACACTTCCTGTGTTGTTTAGGCTGAGGTTGGGGGAGGAAAAAAGGGTAGGAAGGGGAGAGGCCCTGATTCAATGACCTCTTCAGCAGTGACCACTGCATACCTTGCTCTCCATCACCCCTTCAGGACATGGCTACTCCTGTCAGTAAACCACTCATGGTCCACCTCCAGCAGGGGATGTCAAGTGGGTCCAGTCTGCTAGACACTGTGTAGGAGGTTATCTCCTCACTAGAATGATTATCTCCCAGCAATTCAGTGGGTAGCAGTGAAGCTGGGTTTAGGGTGCTATAGGTGTCCACAGTCACTTCAACACTTTCTAGCAGTTTAGCCTCGTAACTGGTCAGTCTTTCCCGAGTCTTCCATACATGACCTTTTAATTCTAAAACTGCCTTCACCTGGTGTGGGGCCAAAACCATCATAGGCTGACCGATAGTGATCTTGGTGGCTTCCTTGGTGTAAAGGTTGGTAGAAGCTAGGACCCGTAGGCAGGCATCGTGTGCTTTCTAGACTTTTAAACCAGTACAGGTGTTTATTCTGGTTGAGAAGGTGGCCTAGGTTGGTGGTTGTCCATATCACTTGGGAAGAATGTGCAATCTGTTGCTAGAAGCAGTGATCTATTGAGGCCAACTACATGCACTGAAAGTCAACTGTTGTTGAGTTGAGCTGTGTCATTACTGATTACATGGCTGGCGGGTCTGTCTGTTTTTAGAGTGGATTGTTGAAGTCTCCGGTTGTGCTGTGGGTTCATCTTTCTCTTGCACTTCTAAGAATGTTGCTGTCCCATGGTTGCAGAATCTGTTGTCAGATGCGTGCGTGTTCAGAATTGTTACATGTTGCAGAACTCATCACCGCATTGTTACCTAATGCCTCTTTTCTTGGCAACAATCCAGGCTCCAGCTCTACAACTGAGCTAAGGCTCCTGATTTCTTTTGATTAGTGTTAGTATGACATATTTTCTCCATTAACTTTTTTAAATTAACATTTTATTCATATATATTTATTGCACTAAGGTGTTTCATTCTGATATTTATATACATGTGCCTATAACGTGCTTTGATCGTATTTATCCCTCTCCACCCCTTTACTTTTAATTCATATGTGTTTGTATTTATTTATTTTTGTATTTTTTTGTGCTACTGTGGTTGGAACTCAGGGCTTCAGGGTTGCTAGGCAGGTGCTTTACCACTTGAGCCACTCTACCAACCTTGTTTTGTGTTGAGTATTTTCAAGGTAAGGTCTCCAGAACTATTTGCCTGAGCTGGCCTTCAAGCTTGATCCTTCTAATCTCTGCCTCCTGAGAAGCTAGGATTACAGGGTTGAGCCCAGCATATGTGTTTGTATTTAAGTGATCTTCTTGTAGCCAATACACAGTTGGAGTTTGTTTTGCCCACCTGTCCTTGCATGCTGTCTATAGTCTATCCATTAGCTTCCTTAGTGCCTTAATCTGAGTTTTAAAAAACGTTTGCTTTGCAATAATGCCATATCTGGTTCTGATGCATCCTCTACCACTTTGTATTGTGATTTTCCTTTTTTTTAACCATTCCTTGAAATATTTTCTTTATACCATAACATGTCATGGTAAATTAAAGGAACTGTTGGAAATAATACATTTAGTATTATGGTAAGGTGTAGGGGAGGGCAACTGTTTTATGCTATTAAGGCTACTACAGTAGAATGACATGGACAGATTGCAGTGTGCTCTGTCTTCTCCACTCCCTTTTGGATACAAGAAGAGTTGTATTTTGAGTTTCTTCAGCTCTAGTTTGAGTTTGGGATGGAGTGATAGCTTTCTTTGTTTATCAGCTTTCTATCATTATGACAAAATACCTGAGATAATCAACTTAAAAGGAGAAAACACTTATATTGTCTGTTGTCTTTGGAGTTTTCAGTGTGTCATCATTTGACCCCATTGCCTTTGGGCTTGTGCAAGGACTAAAAGTACATTATGTCAGGAGCTCATGGCAGAGGAAGCTTCTTACTCCATAGCTAGAAAGGGAAAGAGAGAAGAGAATTGGTTAGGTCTCAATATTCACTACAGGGCACACTGTCCATAACTTCTTAAAGGTTTCACCATCTGCCTGTCACACCATGGGCTGGATCCTACCCTTTTACACCTAGTCCTGTAGGGCATTTCATATCCTAACTAAAGCAGAACTGACAACAGGATGGTACTTGTATTTTCATTTATGTATTTGTTTTTGAGACAAGATTGCTCTTTACCTCATACTGGTTTTATGTCTCCTCTGTAGCCCAGACTGGCCTCAAATTCTTGATCCTCCAGCCTTCACCTCCTCAGTGCTTGGATTACAGGTGTATACCACCATGCCTTGTCCAGGATTGAATTTTAAAAGGAATCATCTCAATGTCTATGTGAACCATTGAAAGAATTTGTCTCCATAGAATATGAATATACTTGATTATATTAGTGGAGCTCCTTTTTGCTTTTCTGAGACAGGGTGTCACTATGTAACTCAGTCTGGCCTCAAACTCATGATCCTCCTGCCTCAGCCCCATGAGTCTTGGGATTACAGGTGTGCACCACCATGAAAGTCCCATGGAGTTCTTAACATGAGCTTTTCTTTATTTTGGGACAAACTCAGAAAATTCTTTCTTGGTCTTTGTAGTCTGTTTCCTTTCCTTTATCAGGAAATATTAGTTTTCTTACATTCTTTTCTTGTTACTTTTCTTCTTTGAAGACCATCCATTTCATTAGCTGTGGTAATTTTAGGCAGCTTTAAAATTCTGTTACTTTCAAAATTTTTTTATGTTAAGCTTATTCTCTCTCCTGAACTCTGGAATCACGTATGTAAGTGGTAGTTGGCCATCCTACATATGTGGTCTTAGATATTCCAAATGTGATATGTTCAAGTCTGTGTCACTTCTGTCATTGGATTCTTTTTTTTTATTTAAATTTTGCTGTGCTAGGGTTTGAACTCAGGGACTTGTGCTTGCTAGGCAGGTGCTCTATGAATGAGCCACTCCACCAGCCTTTTTTTAATGTTGGTACTATCTTTATTTTTCTTTCTTAAATTTTTTGTTGTTGTTGTTGTTGTTGTTGCTTCGTGTGTGTGTGTGTGTGTGTGTGTGTGTGTCTGTAGGTTTGTGCTTGGTGTTTTCAAGATAGGGTCTCAAGAAGTTTTTGCCCAGCCTGGCTTTGAACCAGGATCCTCCTGATTTCTGCCGCCAGAGTAAATAGGATTACAGCTGACAGCTGAAGGTACCCGGCCTGCTGTTGTATTGTTCTTCCATTTTCCAAACTTCACATCACCGTACCAGTACCTAAGTAGCAGCAGTTATGCAGATCACCTGGAAGACAAATATCTTTTTATGTTCATTTGGCAAATTCTTAAGCAAATTCTGTCCCTGCCCTTCTCTTGTTTTTTTTTTTTTTTTCTCCTTTTTAAGGTTATTTCTCTGTTCTGCAGTCTGTGATCTAATGCCTCATGCTGTTTTCTTACCTTTTAACTCTCCCTTAAACCTTTCCAATCCTCCTCCCAGTGATGACTGTTGAAATGTAGATCTGCTCAGTTTGCTCACCTGTTCTCATGACCTCATGTTTTCCACCTGTCATTTGGGAAATGGCAGAGATGCCTCGAGTGAACACAAGCAATCTTTTGGAGCTAGGAAGGAATTATTGTGATGCCTGTGTGCATACTTTTAGTTTATAAGTCATTAGAAAACAACAAGCACATAAAATTTCTTGTTGGACATTGTTTATACACCTAAAATGCATAATCAGTGCCTTCGATATTGTGTTTATCTCTCATCATGGTCCAGTTTCATTCACCTCAACAATATAGATGTGTAGTTCCATTAATGTGGTGGGTATTGTTTGTGGGATTGTGAGTGGACTTCTGTTGTTGCCTTTAGCTGTGAGAACATGTTTTTAGTAAATGCAAGGGGTAAACATCCTAGCCTTCTCAGTGAAGTGAAGACTCATTCTGCAAAATAGAATTATATGTTCTCCTTCCTTGCTTCACTTACACTGAAGCAATAAGTCAATTCCTCTAACAGTTTGTGGGGTTTTGTTTATATTGAATGAATTCTTCATATCAGATCATAAATTCCTTGAAAGAAAAAACTGTTAATCATAGTTTATTTCTTAAATAGAGTGGGGCTTGCTATTTATCCCAGGTTTCCCAGTACTCCTATATCATCCTTTTTAGTGTTTGGATTACTGCCAGGTACCACTAAGCCTGTTTTTACTTCTACTTCAATCCTTAGCAAGAATTCTTTTTTCTGTGGTACTGGGGTTTGAACTCAGGACCTACATCTTGAGCCACACAATTACCTTTTTTTTGTGAAAGGTTTTTTTTTAAGGTGCAGGCAGGCTTCTAAACATGATCCTCCTGATCTCTGCCTTCTGAGAAGCGAGGATTATAGGAGTAAGCCCTGTGCCTAGCTAACAAGAATGTTTTTAGATGTACAAGGTAAAGTTTTTTATAGTATTTTAAACTTAATAAATTATTACAGTAGCAGTACATTTCTGTGACTTTCCTTCACCTTATAGAGTACAAAACAGCTGCATTTAAAAAATGCATATGAGAATCCACTGCCACTCCCACCCACAAATACAGAAGCCAGAACTTCCATATTCCAAGGGCTGGTGAGTTGAGAAGAAATATGGCATTCCAGGAGTTGGTGTCATTTGGGAATGTGGTGGTGAACTTTACCTGGGAGGAAAAGCAGGACCTGGACGATGCTCAGAGAACCCTGTACAGGGAGGTGATGCTGGAGACCTACAGAAGCCTGGTGTCTTTGGGTGAGTGAAACTGTCCTGCAGCCCTAAGGAGAAAGTGCTGTCTTCTTAGTAAATACATGAAAATTATTTAGGTGTACATTTCCAGCCCATGAAGACCTCAATTGCTTACCCTCATTCATTAAAAGGTCACATGCACCCCTTCATTGCACAGTTCCAAAGCTGGGGTTTGTCTTGCTTCAAAGGACCTGATTTATAATGGAGGGTAAGAACCATTTCAGGACATAAATAATACATACATAGATGGATACACATATATAGGGAAATGTCACAATGAAGCTCTCAATATTAACATTAATATAAGTGGCCTCAATACCCAAATCCAAAGACATAGAATAGAAAACTGAGTTAAAAACAAGACCTAGCCATGTTTTTCTTGCAAAAGACTCATCTCATTAATGAAAAGAAACATTGATAAAAAGAAACAAAGGGTGTAAAAATGTTTTCCAAGCAAATGGACTCCACAAACAGGCAGGAGTAGCTACACTTATATCTGACAAAGTAGAACTTATACTAAAACTCTAGGAATTAGTAGGAAATACACTGGAATATATAGGTATAGGGAATGACTTCCTAAGTAGAATTCAAAAGGCTTAGCATGTTAGAGAAGGAATGAACAAATGGGACTACATGAAGCCAAGGAACTTCTGCACAGCAAAAGAAACAGTCACTAGACTAAAGAGACAGTGTACAGAATGGGAGAAAATCTTTGCCAGCTACTCATCTGATAAGGGACTGTATTCCAGAATCTACAAAGAACTCAATAAACTCAACCCCCAAGGAATCGACATCCCAATGAAGAAATGGGCACATGAATTTAATAGGGAATTCTCAAAGGAAGAGGTACAAATGGCCAGTAAATATAAGAAGTGTGCAACTTCCCTGGATATAAAAGAGAAACACATCAAAACAACCTTTAGATTTCATCTCACCCTCCTTAGCACAGCCATTTTCAAGGCAGTAACAGCAAGAAATGCTGGTAATGATGCGGCAAAACATGAAAACTGCTACAGTGTTGGTGGGAATGCAAATTAGTACTACCACTATGGAAATCAGCATGGAGATTCCTCAAAAAGCTAAAGATAGAATTTCCATATAATCCAGTGATACTGCTCTTGGAATCTACCCAAAAGACTTATGAGTCAGAATCCAATAGAGATACCTATACACCAATGTTCATCATTGCACTATTAACAAGGGCCAAGCTATGGAAACAACCCAAATGCCCTACACCTAAATGTTTAATGCTTGAGTCACACCTGCATTCCATTTGCTTTGCACATTTTGGAAATGGGGTCTTTAGAACTACTTACCCTGGTGGGCCTCAAAGCATGATCCACCTGATCTTAGCCTCCCATGTATCTAGGATTACAGGTTTCAGCCACAGTTGTCCAGCTCTTTCAGAGACTTTTATGTGAGAAGAGCCCTGAGATTCTCTGCTTTCCCAGGCTTTCTGGGGAATTTTCTCCCTGGCACTCATTTTCCCATGGTGGGCCATCTAGGCACTCCGAGTCTCAAGTGGGCTCAAGCTGTACAGGAAGCTGACTTTGGCATCCTCCACATGATGCTTGTTTTGGGGTCTGCAGAATGCAAGAAATATGGGGTCATAGAGGCTTCCATAGAGATTTGAAAGGAAATCCTGGGTAGTCAAACAGTATACAGTAGGGCCAGAATCTCTGCAAGCAGCCATTGAGAGGTCACATTGTGAAGCTGTGAGAATGAATACAAGTTGCTGTGGAGACTACTGGAGGTCGGTTGCCAGAAAGTTGGATGGTATGCAGAGGGAAGGCCATAGGCTGTGAGAACAGCCAACCAAAAAGCAGCCATCTTGGTTGGACCTGTCAAGGGATAGGACTGCCTGAGATCTTGGGGCTCAGATCACAGTACAAAGTGTCCCTGATTCTGGACCTGATGGTGAAGGGTTCATTGTTTGCCATACTGGCTTTTGGTCTTCCTTTGGTCTGATTTCTCCTTACTATTTCCTTTTCCTCTCTTTTGGAATGAAAACACTTACCCTTGAACAACTGTACCCTGAACTGTCTAACTTTCTTTTTGATTTTCTGGGGATTCACCATTAAGAGTTTGGTTTGGGTCTTAGAGGAGACTCTGGACTTTTGTGCAACTCTGGGACTGTTAAGATAATGGGAATGGTTGCAGATGGACTGAATGCATTTTCCATTGTGAAATGGACGTGAACCTTTGCAAGCAGGGATTCAGGGTTATGGTGTGGATGGTAATTGCTCCCATTCATGCGTTGAACCCTTGGCCCTTCATACTGCAAAATCAGAGGTGGGGCTTGAGATAGATGATTGGGACATCAGGGTCCTGATGTTATGAAAAGATTTATACACTTACCTATTAAGAGCATAAGGGTTTGAGGGAAGGGCCTTATTACAATACTCAGCTTTCTCTTTGGTTCCTGGCCACCAAAACATACATAAGAAGTTTATTCTACCTCACAGTCCTTGGCAAGATATTCTAACTCAGTGGGAGCACCTAGCCTGTTCCAGGGATGGGAGCATCTGTGGTACCAGTAAAGACAGGGAAGGACTGCTATGATGATGCTGGGTGTCTGGCCTCTCTTGTCACCCATCCTCCTCTGACCCCCATACATCTAACTCACTCATCAGCATCCTTCAGAATCTCAGACTGGCTCTTAAAAGGAGACATTTTACCATGGAAAAAACAAACTCCTTCTATGCTGTTTGTCTCTGAAGAGTCTCCTCTGAAGATTTGGTCACTTACTCTTTCTGTTTATGAAAGTCCCTCATTGTAGAAATAGCTTTTTAAAGATGTTTTCCATCTTGGAAGGAATGTATCGGGCAGGTCAGATGGGCATAAATGCCAATTAAGACCCATTTGATGAAGTTATAAGCAACAAAAGAGGTTTAGAAGAAGTGGGCTTACCTGACATTCATTTTTAGTTCAGTTTGGACAGTAGTTGATATGCTGACATTTTAAAAATTCTTCAGAATGTCAACAGACAACAATTAAAAGTGTTAAAAGGAGAATACAAAATGTCAAAAAAGCAAATATCTAAATGGCTGACTCCATTGAAAAATAGATACTTGTTAGTCATTTTTGGGGTTTGATTGCAAATACTTCAGAGAAGGACCCAGACTGTGAATGACAAGACTTAGAATAGCCATGGTTAAAACACTGATATGTAGTTTAAGAATTGTCAGAAAATTTAGTTATTTCTATAGCAGACAGCAGTTTAGGAAAACAATTATGATGGACAGCATTAAAACAACTATACTAAGTGCTCCTTGTTACAATTAGGAGCACATGGACACAACCTGTGAAAGTCTAGCACTGTTAACTACAGATGTCTTACAAGTTAGGGTGACAATGCCTGTGACAGAAAATGTAATACACAAGTACATTTCATATAAATAATAACAATCATTTGAGTAACACAAATATAGGCCAGGTTTTAAAGAGCAGGATTGCCCATATGGCAAGGTTTTTCTGAACGTTTTTGATCACAAACAGCACAACTATCAAAGTTTCATTAACCCTTTTATATGCTAAAGGTTTTGATGTAATGCTTCTGGGTAAAAGACAACTTTTACTGGATATTTTACATGTATTAAACTGACACGTTTAACTTTGCAAATGTTTGTACACTATAGACACAGAACACAGTAAAAAGTTGGTCATTTAAGAAAACTTTACATGAGCAAATACTTAAATGAACTCTGATTTAGTGAAGGTTTCGTTTAAATATTTAAAAGCTTAAGAATATCAACAGAAAACATGAGTAATTATTTTGATAAAATCTTTCCTTACAACAGTTTCTTACAGATGTTACACAAAGCAGAATAATATTAAGATAGCCTTGTTGTTATAGACATAGAGATTCAGGTTCTAGTTCAACATGACCCCTGAAAATCTTTCAGAAGACCATGAAAAAAGGCAATCTTAAACTGTTTTTCTATACACTAACTAACTTATAAAGACACATATATTAATTGACCTAATTAGGAAAAAATTGAATGTAAATTATACTTATGACAAAATGAAACAGATTAAAGTTACTGTCCATAAAATAATGCCTATATTTTAGTTAGACCTGATTCACATAAAACTTTGAAAAACTGCACTTCTTAAAAGTAGCGGCAGAAAAGTGGGGTGCAGAGACAAGGGAACAGAAGCTTGTCATTCCATTCTGTTACATCTGTAATAAGAATCATCCTAAAAATGTTCAACATTTATACACAAAAATATAAAAGGTTCTACATGAGGCATGCCATAAATATCAATTTAAGCATGCATAGATTGAAGAGTGCAAGAACATGTAAAAGATAACTAAGTGGCCACAAGTACATTGATTATTATTTTAAAATTTTTGAAGAGCAGATTGGGGTGTGTCCCATTTTGTTTTTTAGGTCCAATTTAGGGTGGCTTGATAGCTGAAGCAAGAGTCAGTTCTAGGAATGTGTTTTGAGTCAGTCTCAGTCTCTAATAAGACTTGTCACAGCTATCAGATTTTTGTCTTTAATAAATTAATCATGCAAGAGATGTACACAAAATTCACACAACTATAAAACAATTTATTCTGAGTACACTCTTAGATATTGAAGGGTTTAGATTTACTTCTAGAGAGTGTTTTTAATAATCTCTAAGAAATAGTTTACCTTGGGCTACAGTAGCTTTTTTTTTAGCCAAACCTTTAACCTGAGTTTAGAGACACTAGTCCTGGGTATAGGGCTGTCATCCCATATCCTCATCTAGACAATGGGTATGGGATTCATGAGTCTATGCTCTTAGTTTATACCAAAAATTTGTTTTTAAATTTGAATTTGTATGACAGGCTGGGAAAGGGGCAGACTGTTGTGGTAAAAAGGATTATGTCTCCATTGAAACTGGTGATATTTGGCTATCTTAGTAAGCTCAGAAAAGAAAGAAGTAAGGACCCAGATTAAAGTGTCTAGAGGATTTTGGACATGAAACAGATGGGAATGAAGCTAAAAGCCTGCAGTCTGGCTGGCTCTCTGCCT